GCCTTCGGCGGCCTCGTCTCCGACTCACGTGCCTCGTGCGCCTGTACTCCACCAGCGTTGAATTCAGCACTTCTCCGCCTTAGCACGTAATATACTATTGTCGACAATGTGCACAGCGTTATACCGACAAATTAATTTATTGCGCAGTTTTTAGTTTTTCATACACCTAAGTGGAACTGCCTACGACTTTTCGGGATTTGATGGGACAGGTCTAAGGGACAAACTTCCAGGAGATCCATCGCAGACATTCTTCTCCTTCATTCCTCTTTCTTTTCAACGGACATAAACTTGATTGACAGGTGGCCTTCACCTAATTCTCCATCATGATCGCAGTAGAATGAATCTATGGACGAACCGATAATCTTTTGCGAATTATTATTTATGTCTTTCGCCTGCTTTCCTGCTCAACAATGACTGACTTATTAAGAACCGGCATGCAGCGCCACGAAGTGACTTGCAATGTCTCTTTACTGAAATTTTTTTACCGCTAATTCTGCAATATAGCCCCGCATCAACACCGCGTGAGTTTGGCGGGGGAGTGTATAGATATAAATAACTTCAATAAAATTCTGTCTTCTACACTTCTCGTTGAATGGCATTGCAGCACCAGCGCACGAGACATAATGATGATGGAATGTAAATGTAAATTGACACCTCTTTGTCCAGTCCCTCCTGGCACTCATCGAACATTTTCAGGAGTGGGAGAAAGGATAAATAAACACCAAGAGAACTGATGGAATCGCTGGCGTTGATTGTAATTTGTAATTATGGAAGGATCTTAGTAATGAGTTACTACTGAGAAATACTACGTTCGTTCACTACTATACTGTGCTCATAATAATAACATTTCCACTATCCACCTGTGTAAGAAATTCATTCTTCGAAGAGTCTCGTTACTCTATCGTAAAGAGTTCTGGAATTCGAACGTATAGTGCCACCTCCCTCCCCTTTACCAGACAAGTCGACGGAAAAATTCGAACGATCAACAGAATAAAATCATCAGACGGATAATGGAACCATCAGTATGAGACCATTCTACACGATGCACAGAAATTTAGGAGTTTAGATTTTCTATTTTCAGAGAAGAATTTTTTTTTTATCTTTTTAGTCTATACTTTTTTTTGTGGAATTATTTCTAGATCGTCAACTCGAGATATCTATAGTTGAAGACCTTGTACAAGCCGCACTACTATTTATAAATGTTTTTTTCAGGTAAATAAAGAATTCTAAGCTCAATGTTTCGCATTCACTGTAACAATACTACTTCAACTAGTCTTCGCAACTCTGAGGAAAATAATAAATCGATGACGTAGAAATGTCTGAAGCTATTTACATAATTCAGGCTAGGTTTCGTATTGATTCTCAAAATTTCTATGAATCGTAAGATGAAGAGCGATGAGAGTTGTCAAGCACTGAGTATTAAAATAAGCATAAGAAATCCAGAGAGGTGGAAATGACGCTTGGAAAATGTAGAGCTACTGTATCAGTTCTTGTTAACGCGCTTTGTTGAATGGATCTGATTTTTCTATTACCTTTCATTAAATTCGTCAGACTCAATATTCGTGAAAATGAGTCATCAAACTGATTGAACTTTAGTTCTGTTTAAGTCCAATGAATTATTTTCAGTGAATTTTGAGGAGATAGTGATTCGGGAATATGAAAAAAGATCTGTAATCAGGCGAAATGCAGCGTGTGTTGAGCTTGCAAGCAGCTCGAAGTTTCGGCGAGTCAACCGAATTTGTGACAAAACGCATGTGTTTTTCGTTTTTGTTCTCTATTGGATTTTTGTGCCTCCTTTGTGGGTTTTTGATTGGGAGGTTTGCGGCACAGAGGGCTGTTGATATCAGAGCTGAAAGGGAACAAAAAGCGGTGGCTGGCAATGGCCTTGAGAGTGGTGAGCAACTGCAGCAGCGGATTATTCAAGAGCTTGAGACGAGAGGGTTCGATGGACCTACAGACCTCACGTAAAATATCAAGTTTTTCATTAAATCAAAAAATCCGGGTTGCAATTTCGCGCCTATATAATTGTCGCCACATACCTGTTTCACTTGCTCCAAAACATCATTATAAATCTGTGTTAACCGTCGAGTCTTGAATAATCATCGACCACTCATCCACTGTTTGTTTGATAGACTCTGTATATAATTGTTATATTCTTCTGTTGCTATTTCTGTTAATGAAATCCACGAACCACGTAGTTGAATATTAATTTGTTGTTAATTCCGTTTTGTTTTTTATGAAGGGAAGGCCGCAGTGAAAGTTGAAAGTTGACGAAAGGCAATATGTAAGCTCTTTGAAAATTTTAATTTTTCGATTTTTTTGCTCAGAATTAGTGGAGACAATCATATTTTAGTATGATGCAAAGTGTTGTATTGACCAGCTGATCAATTAAAACCATACGATTGACTGACCCTCCCCCCCCTTCCCCCACCATCACAGGGGAAGACATATAAGGACAACCCCCAAACATCGGAGCTCAGAATCGGAGCTCATAGCCCTGAAGATGCAGACTGCAATGTTTGCGAAACGTCGGCGCACTGCTGAAACCAAACGCGGCATCCATCCGGAAGCCAATAATGTCATTAATAATGGCCGCGAAGCCTCAAAACTAATACATGGGACATTCCATGTCAACTCAGCCTCCCCGGATTTTTTTTTGTCTACGAAAAATAATTTGATTACCGCATTTCGAACTACTATATATAGACAGTATTCCTGCCAAATTTCATTGCCTCATGATTTTTTGTTTCTGAGATAATGACTACCAAACTTTAAATTTTCAAAAATTCATAACTTTTGAATGGCGCATCCGATTCGAACAAATAAAAGAAAATTTTTGTTTTCGTTCATACTTTCATGAAAAAAATACTCCATAGGCGTGAAGAAGCTTCTACACCTATTTTTCGATGAATTTTTACGTTTTTATTTTTTTTCGGCTCCAGGGCCGTCCGGTATTCGACTGGAATATTTTTTTTCTGATAGAGGACGTCCATATATGATGTAAAAAAAATACGCCAACATGGGAGAGACAACCAGTGCACCGGAGAAAATTTTTGTTTCTTAAATTTTCGTGTTTTTCTGCTTTCTAGGGGAGCTGCCTCGTCTTTATTAAGAAATTGATATTTCAATCCATACCTTTGATGAATATGAGTTAGGAAAGAGATTCATCACGATAGAAAAGAGAAACAATTTTCGAGTTTTTTCGCTATCTATGAGAGCTCTCAAAAGAAACAAACGTGTCAATCAATATTTTTTGCTCATAACGATGAAAAGGAAAGCCATCATGAAAGAGACAAGCAGTACACCAGAAAAATGTGATTTCTTCGCAATTTTCTTTTTTTTTCTCCTTTTCTCTTTTCCTTCTTCTTTTCAATCTTTTTTTTGCTTCTTTCACCTTTCAATCGACAGTTTTCCCTTCTGCTAGATGGGAGGGATTATCAACAACATTATAGACCTCTTTCGAAAGACAAAGTACTCCTCCAAAGAGTTGCGAAACATGGAAAAACAAGTTTTATTTTACTGTAACGACCTTTTTACATTTTTACAATAAGAGGCTATTATTGACCGTCTCCAACTACCACTTGCCCAATTGCACTGATTTACTATATGTACATCTATTCATCACGATTACTGTTTTCTAAGTGCTTTCCGTTTTGTTGCTGTTGTTTGGTTTCGTTTCGGAAAAACTTCTTGGTTTTCCGCAGCCGAATATCGTTTCATTAACAATTGCTCTCCCGGTTTTGAAATGAAACAATGGTGTTTTTGAATGGCTGGAATAGCTTTGGCACTATCAAATCTTTCCCTCAATTCAGTTCTTATATTCTCATGTTCATCCTTGGTGAAAAAAAACACATCAATTCCTTTGAAATTCTTTTTTGACCATCGAAACAAAGCATCTCGCGTCAGGATGGGTTCACCATGGACGATTTGCAAGCTTCTACGTCTCGCTTCTTTTTTGAAAATAGCACCCACACCGTCATAAGCTCCTTTACCGTGTGCGGTTGCATGGAAATGGGCCTCTGCATCTATTCCAAAATCAGTGTTGTGATGCAGAAGATTAGCCATTTGGTAACGATTCTTGTAATGCTGTGCAGCTCCATCGGTGACATAAATGATTCTCTCGACATCTTTGCAGTTATTCTTTACATGTTGTATTAGAATTTTCTGTACCAAGTAAACAGCTGCGGTATCGTGAGTAGTACTATCTGACAAAACAACTAAACTTCGATGCTGGATCTCGTTTCCTTCGCGATAGTAGTAAACAACGGGATGGACTGTACATTGGTCATTGTTATAGTGGAAGGATTGAGTAGCATCTTGAGCCACAAAGGCATAATTTGATGAGAAACCACAGTGCACTACTTCGCCGTTATTCAAATTCTCTTTTCGATCTTTAACAAAAGCTGATTGTTCTTTAGGCGCGATAAGTGTCAATTCTACGACTCCTTTGAAGACGATAGGTTGAGGATAATGACACTGGATTTCGAAGAGGCACATTACAGCTCCTAGGAGCATAGGTGCTTACCTACGCTCCGCGAAACGAAACGTACAGCGCCTCTAACGTCCTTTGTCGTAACTTACCGATAGTGTGGCGGACGGGAAAACACAAAAACGTGACTGAAAGTGTGAAAGAAATTAAAAATCGAAATGAATCGTATTATACCGGAAACTCAGGAGGAAATACTTTCTCTCGATATANGGACAATCACACGTATTTTTTCTCTCAAAAAAATCTCTGCTCAATTTTCTAATTTTTTTCAAATTCTTTTGGAGTAAGTGGGGCAAGGGGGTGAGCTATTGTATGATCCATCATATTTTCATATGTTTGGGATAAAAGTTCATGATTATTGTGATTTTTTTCCATTATTTTTTCTTTTGCTTATTTGGGTTTGACTGGATGGGGGGGGGGCTTCGCCCTCCACCCCCCCCCTTCCTCCGGGGGCTTCGCCCTCTGGACCCCACCTGCGCCTCCACCGCCGCCCTTGTCACGCCTTCGTAACGAAAAAAAGATTATGTCATTCGGCCGATGGCGTCGGATTGTGAGTCGTGCTGCAAACTTCACACTCCTCACAATCCTCCACCTATCATCCTCATGACAAAATCTACTATAATCGTTCGACAAGAAGATCGACGAAGTCATCCATCGCAAGCGTTTGTGTCTGCAAAGTACACCTGTCAGTGGTTTGCCACACGCGAAATTGCACAGTTTCGACAACAGAATCAGAAAGGAGCTTCTTCAATTCACATGAGAAGAGTTTCACCCCAGGGCAGTCGTTATATTCATCCAGATAACAGGCCGGGGTTGGATTTTTACACATCAGTTGTGTTAGACAATCTTTGTAATGGTTGAGTGGGCAGGGGGATGTTTAGTTAGAGTGACAATGTTGATGGCTTCGAGCATCAATTTGCAATTTTGATGATACGTGCAAACACATATGACGTGAGTACCATTTGCTCCCACCAGTACACATTGTTTTGGTCTCAGCTCAGCGAACTTACTGAAACCAACCAAAGCCTCTGGATGAGTATTTTTATACTTCCTATGAAGGTGTTTCAGATTTTCGAGTATCATTTGCTTTTGCTCTACTTTCTTCTCTCCATTGATTTTGACGGATACTTTATCTTTCATCCCTGGCATGACACGACTATTCTCTAGATAAAACTTATGTACTTTCTTGACCGTTTGTTTTGGAAGTGAATGGCCTGCGTTCACAATTGGTAAGGTAAATACTCCTTTGATTTCTCTCAATTTTTTCGCTCTTGACGCCATGTATCTCGTAATGCCAAATTCAGAAGCGATTTTCCGCTCGCTCCACGACTGTGGAGGAACCGTCAAGATTTGCAAGCACTCACCGTACTTTTCCAGATCATTGAATTTTTTCTTCAAACCATCCAGCATTTCTTCTAATTCTATTTCTCTCGAAGATCGATAGCGCTTTGATAAAGAAGGATCAGCGTCACTTTGGTCATCTTCCGCATCAGAATACATGGGGGAACTGGAGAATTCAGATACATTGTCCGCTTCTTCATCGATTGAAATGCCGGAATCGTCGAGATGGAAAGACCGACCTGATCTCAGAGAACTGTTCATCACATCTGGGCTTGGTTCGGGTGTTTCGGCTTGGGGCTTTGATATCTCGGGTGGGGTGTCCGAACATCGAAGATGTGTATCATGAAGATTCACCATTGAGACGGATGGAATCACATAATTCGGGGCCATCTTCCGGCACTGGCCACAGATTTTCGCAGACTTTGGTAGAAAGGGAAACTTCTTGTGTATTACCGAGGAAATGGGCCGCAAATCCAAACCATTGTGTCCCTTCTGACCAGGAATCCGCATCGGATTCACACACCTATCACTTCGCGGGATTCTATGAAATGCAAAATTATCAAATCCAATCCGAAATTATCCGGAAAATGAGGATTATTCCAATGAGTAACGTGAAAACTGCTTACCTCGATACAACAGACAGGAAAATGCAAATCGATTCGCAAGGAATTGTACAACGATGAAAACTCAATGAGGAAGTTGAAGTTTTCACTAAAACTAGAGCCTCAGGAAAAACTGATGATATTAAATCAATGAATTGATTCTTTTTGTTTTCTTTTCTCATTTGTTTGGTCATGATTAGGCGAACTTCCGATGATGATGACACAGTATAGCTCTCATAGAAAGCGAAAAGACGCAAAAATTTTGAAGAAATTTTTTTTCCCGACGCATTGTTTCTCTTTTCCATCGTGACGCATCTCTTTTCTAACTCATATTCATCAAAGGTATGGATTGAAATATCAATTTCTCAATAAAAACAAGGCAGCTCTTCTAGAAGGCGTAAAAACACGAAAATTTAGGAAACAAAAATTTTCTTCGGTACACTGGTTGTCTTTCCTACGATGGCGTATTTTTTTACATCAAATATGGACGTCCTCTATGAGAAAAAAAATATTCCAGTCGAATATCGGACGGCCCTAGAGCCGAAAAAAAAATGAAAACGTAAAAATTCATCGAAATTTAGATGTAGAAGCTTCTTCACGCCTATGGAATTTGTTTTCCTCAAAGTATGAACGAAAACAAACATTTTCTTTTTTTATTTGTTGGAATCGGATGCGCCATTCAAAAGTTATGAATTTTTGAAAATTTAAAGTTTGGTAGTCATTATCTCAGAAACAAAAAATCATGAGGCAATGAAATTTGGCAGGAATACTGTCTATATATAGTAGTTCGAAATGCGGCAATCAAATCATTTTTTCTAGACAAAAAAAAATCCGGGGTGGCTGAGTTGAGATGGAATGTCCCACATACCCGTTCATAAAAGTTTTCGAAATATTCCCGTTTTTTCATTAAAAAAAAACTATGCAAACACTGGCTTTTATAAAAATCGAGATATCAATCTTGAAATTTGGACAGAAAATATGTATAACCTCATACGAAGTATTCGAAACACTGGAATTTTGATAGCACCCATGGAGGTGGGTGCCATCAACCATTGGAAATTTTTGCTAGTAGTTAGTGTTGTAAAGCTGTAAACTTTTGTGATATTTCAGACCATTCGGAAGCCCGCCATCAATGTATTGATGGCGAAAAAAATAAAACACCACTCAGTAACATTCTCAGTGTTACATGACACGCTGACATATGCTCGCTGTCCCCTGCTTGTTTTGATCTTTCATTTTGCATAACTGCCACACTCATGTTCAAAAAAAAATTTTTTAATGTAGTTCTCTGGTGTATAATGGCCTTCAATGTACACCATACTAAAGTACAATGATCCCTACCAGTTCTGAGAAAAAAATCGATAAATTGGAATTTAAAAGAAAACTCACATATTTTTTTTGCCACTGTATTATATTGTGTGGAAACTAAAATTTAAGGGAATCCATCAAAAATCCTTGTAAGGGGACTATTTTGATAATTTTATGCCTATGCAGACAGATGCCGTCAATGCATAATAGAGACAAAAAACTTCTTGGCTCTGCATGTCTTTCGTATATCCAAGTAAGATAGCCCTCGGAATAAAATTTATTTGCCTAACCTATCTACTAACAACTCATTTGCGCGGTCGTTATATGAGACTTCCCGCCAAAGTGCGCGCAATCATTTTTTATATACATTTTTTCTTTAATAGGAAACAAATCGAATTCTCATTTGTGGCGGTTTACCGAAGTTTGGTCATTGTCAGACAATTGAGCACAAAGAATTCCAATACTCATCGGATTCACTAGGAAAGTCTATTGGACTTTAATTGCAATTGTATGATTTTTTCGTAGATCCTATTGAAAAATTGTTTTTTTTACATCTTTTGAAATGCATAGATATAAAATACATAGAAATAAAATATTCACGAGGAAAAAAAAATGAATTCTGATTTCGCTGTACAACTTATCCCATATACATAGACATTTCCTCCGGAATTTTCTCGGCAATAGTTCAAAGGTTCTAAAAATCAATAATTATGGAAATACTGTGAAGAATTTCCATAAAACTCGATAAAATTAGAAATCGTTATTTTTTTCTCAATTTAATAACGCCTTCACGTTTTTAAAGAAGAAAATCTATCCTCTATGTTCCTAATACTTCATAATCCCGAGTGAAAATTCCGCTCAGGCCACCTAAAGTTGGAACAAAAATGGATCCATCTGTAGTCAGGTTCGGCTGATCAGGTGAAACCTGATCAAAACCTGGTGAAAAACTGATCCAGTGTTTCTAAGGTCAGGCAGCCTGACACCACTTTGATCAGATTCAGATTTGGTCACCCTGATTTCAATTTGAGCAGAGTATTCTGAGATGAAGTTGATCAGATTTGAATTTTATCAGACGTCTGGAGGGTTAAACGTAGCACGGATCGGGCGTCTTAAGGATGTACTTACACCCTTTTCGCCAAAATTCACGTTTTTTGAGTTTTTCTGGTAAATTGTTGATCGGATTGATGTGAAAAAATATGCCGTTTTTGCGTTTTATCATTACTTAATGACTCACGAAATTTCATGATCGTGTAATCATTTTCCTGCGTTTCTTCTAAAACTTTTCAAAAACTCACAAAACTTTAGAAAAAATGCAGGAAAATGATTGTACTACCATGAAACTTTGTGAGCCAGTCAGTAATGATAAAACGCAAAAACAGTATATTATTTCGCGTCAATCCGATCAATAATTTGCCGGAAAAATGAAAAAAACGTAAATTTGGACCGAAAGGGTGTAGTACATCCTTAAGATTCAAAAGAGTCAGATATTTAAAGGTCAGAAGTCTCAGGGATCAAAGGTCTCAATGGTCAAAAGTGTCAGAGGGTCGAGCCTCGTAAGGGCCAGACATTTAAAGGATCAGGTGCATACCATTTCAAGGCTCAAATATCTTATTTGAAAGCTCAGGCAATATAAAGATTAGATGTTTCAAACATCAAATGTCTTAAGGTCAGACGTATGAAGGGTCAAATGTCTCAAATATTAGACTTCATAAGGGTCAGCTGTTTCACGGCTCAAACGTCTTAAGGATAAAAAATCAAAAGGATCGAATGTAAAGGGACAGATGGGCGGAGAGGAAGAACGACAGGGGGGGGGGGGTTGGATGAATTCACCCCTACTATCAGAAGTCTATCTAGAAATTGCTTATTGTCAGCAATAATAGAGGAATAATATTTGAACATGATACATGCAAACGAATGTCATATTGACAATATGAGATACATAATGCAAAATTAGGGCTGTACTCTAGTGATTAGGACGTAGGTTTAATAATGATAGGAGCCCGGGTTCGAAATCAGTCGTGGGCGGAATAATTTGCGATAACAAAATCGGCCTTTTCTGCGATAAATACTTTGCGGGGTGACCACTAAGGTCACAAACGATCGTAAAAATGATTTTTGCAAATTTAATTATTATTTTTGTTAAGGGTCAGTAATGAAATCAGTAATGAAACTGAACGCGTTCCTCCGGTCCGGACCCATAGGGCTTGATCAGCCCTGGCGCACCTGATCGAAATTTCCACTCGGGGGATTTTGCTTCTACATCCCATATTATGGCGGCTAGGGACGAGTAACGTTTATTGTAACTAACTGCCGAGATAGCATGCGATTTCATGAAAAAATGGAATATATCTTCAAAGAGTTAATTATTGGGTAGTCTAGAACTCGAATACTCTATCTATCAGACGCCATAGGAACCCATGTAAGTAGGTTGCGAGGCCTATCTCTCCTAAGGAGCTACTGTCGGGTGGGGAAAATGTGAACCTGTAGAAGTAGGTCCGCGACCTACGCCCCGCCCCCATTTGAGTTCCCAATAGTTGATTGAAAATTCATACAGATCACAACAATACGTTTCATTTTCTATTTTTCTTATTTTGTCAATTTTTTCATTGCAGGTTATATTTCGCCGAATTATCTTTATTTTCTTTTTCATATTTTTACTCTCACTTTCTTTCTCCAATGAAAATTGGATAGCAAGACATATACAGAATGTTAATGGTTAACAAAAAATTAGCTAATAGAATAACCGCCTGTACCGGCATGGATTTGCTGGGGGTTCCTATGCTAGTCCTATGTTTTATTGGAGTGCGAATGCGGCATAATGTAGAATCCACAGCCACATGCATGGGGTTGGATAGAGTGCCGAGCGGGACTCGAAGGCCGTAAAAAAAGCTCACGAGATAAGTTATAGAGATTCATGTGATCCTTTTGATCGTTATTTTGTCCCAAGAATGAGTTATTTTAAGACAATATATCTTTAGAGCTTTTGAATAGAACATTCCGCCACTTAAAAGAACCAACTATGTCCTCTTAAATCACTCGTCGCTTGTTCTGGAGATGATTATATAATTAACAAAGATTTCATATTTGACTTTTCGATCCTATTTTTCTCACTAAGACATCAAAATCATTCTTCCAATAATAAAAGAATATCAATTCATTCAATTTTCAGGAGGAGCATGAGAAACACTGCCCTGAGGAACGTGGAAACTATGTTTTCAGCTTTAGATTTCTTTTCGAAATTAGGGGTTACTGGCGGTTGTTTAACTGCAAAAGTTAATGGATCGCTTGAAACAGGTCATTATTATCAGCTGCACAATTAAATGCTTCAGATACTAAAACCAAATGAATATTACATTCCCAGACCGATACGTTGTTGTAACGACTGGAGGGGAAGAGAACATTGACATTGTTATCGAAGTAGTCGAGGAATTACATAAATCGACTTCTGATAATGACTGGAAGCCACGCAGGACTCTAATGTTCCTTTTATATGAGAATTCATTGAATGACTGTCTCCAACTCTTTTCTGATTACGAAAAATCAAAAATTGTGGCTCTGTTAGCTATTGATAAGACTGCAATTGATGGTAAGATCACTCTTCAATAAATTTTCTTCACTGAAACATGCATTCTTTATAATTATGCATTCGTTTTATTTTCCTAAATCTGAGACGGTATCGCAACGAAAACTTCCTCGAATGTTTTTTTTAAAATAATGCCATGATCATATTTAGCAAAAGGACCTTGTTAAAAATGGAGAATTCCGAAGATTTTCGAAATCCGAATTAAAGTTATTTTTTACTTTTTTCGAAAGAAATTCTGTAAATCATTTCTTCACTCACTGATTTGAAAACTATGATAAATCTTGGATTATTTTTATTGGGATTCATACTCACATTCTTGCTTCCCACAGGAAATGGCTACTTCGTTTCTTCTGGATCTGACATAGTCCAAACAACTGTTCTCAAATCCTTCGAAAATTACGCTGGACCGAAAACTTATGAGAATACGTACTTGCCTCGGTTGAAGCTCAACATCCCCCACTCTGTCATCACTTTCATGGTAAACGAAATTCCTCCAAAATAGTATATTTCGGTGCGTGCGTGACAAAGTATCGGAAACTTGTGCCACACTTCCATGAGACCAAGAATACTCGCTTCGCTCGGTTAGATCGCGGTTTTCGGGCCCAACGACATAAAATACTGTATGCCACACGGCAATAAAAGCATTATCTGGCGAATGTGGATTATAATCCGAGCCGGAGGCGATAATACTTTTATCGCCTGGTGGCATAATATACTATTTTGTCACACCTGCACGTTTGAACGCACATTATGTAGTCAGCTGCCGGAGCTACAATTGAGCCCGAACTCCCTTAGGAGTTTCTTATGGTCATCTGCGCATATGCCTGCGCATAACAACACGCTCGTTCACCACCAGCCGCAATTTTTGGGTACTAAAAATTATCTGGAGGTGCCAGATGTGTCTAAATGAAAAATTTGAATTTTTACCCGGGGCCAAAGTGTCAGATCTTGGATTTTTTCCGGGGGAAAGTGGACTTCCGCCAAAATAGAATTTTTTCGTCAAGTGAATGTTGATTCCGTATTTATTGGCCCCTCTAATGCTAATAAAACCCTCAGCGGGTTCAGAAATGTAGAAATGAAAATAATATATTGTGCCCCTAGGGAGTAAAAGTATTTTCTGACGAATGTGACGTTATAACCCGAACGGAAGGCGAGGCTTATAATCACATTCGTCAGAAAATACTTTCATGTCGTTGGGCCCGAGAAAACCGCGATTCTGACCTCGCTTCGCTCCGTTAGATCGCGGTTTTCGGGCCCAATGACATAAAATACCGTATGCCACACGGCGATAAAAGCATTATCTGGCGAATGTGATTATAATCCGAGCCGAAGGCGATAATACTTTTATCGCCTGATGACATAATATACTATTCTTCACCCGGGGCCAAAGTGTCAGACCTGAGATTTTTTCGGGGGAAAGTCGACTTTCGGCAAAATCGAATTTTTTTGCCGATTGAACATTGATTCCAATGATTTAAGCGACGGGCTATTCAAAACTCTCAAAAGTATGTGGAAAAAGTGAAAACTGAAAAAAAAATTTTTTCACCCAGAGCCAAAGGGTCAGATTTTCGGTTTTTCCAGATGACTCAAGCGCCGGGCTATCCAAAACTCTCAATAGTATTTGGAAAAAGTAAAAAAACCATTTTTTTTTCACCTGGGGCCAANTTATGGTCATCTGCGCATATGCCTGCGCATAACAACACGCTCGTTCACCACCAGCCGCAATTTTTGGGTACTAAAAATTATCTGGAGGTGCCAGATGTGTCTAAATGAAAAATTTGAATTTTTACCCGGGGCCAAAGTGTCAGATCTTGGATTTTTTCCGGGGGAAAGTGGACTTCCGCCAAAATAGAATTTTTTCGTCAAGTGAATGTTGATTCCGTATTTATTGGCCCCTCTAATGCTAATAAAACCCTCAGCGGGTTCAGAAATGTAGAAATGAAAATAATATATTGTGCCCCTAGGGAGTAAAAGTATTTTCTGACGAATGTGACGTTATAACCCGAACGGAAGGCGAGGCTTATAATCACATTCGTCAGAAAATACTTTCATGTCGTTGGGCCCGAGAAAACCGCGATTCTGACCTCGCTTCGCTCCGTTAGATCGCGGTTTTCGGGCCCAATGACATAAAATACCGTATGCCACACGGCGATAAAAGCATTATCTGGCGAATGTGATTATAATCCGAGCCGAAGGCGATAATACTTTTATCGCCTGATGACATAATATACTATTCTTCACCCGGGGCCAAAGTGTCAGACCTGAGATTTTTTCGGGGGAAAGTCGACTTTCGGCAAAATCGAATTTTTTTGCCGATTGAACATTGATTCCAATGATTTAAGCGACGGGCTATTCAAAACTCTCAAAAGTATGTGGAAAAAGTGAAAACTGAAAAAAAAATTTTTTCACCCAGAGCCAAAGGGTCAGATTTTCGGTTTTTCCAGATGACTCAAGCGCCGGGCTATCCAAAACTCTCAATAGTATTTGGAAAAAGTAAAAAAACAATTTTTTTTTCACCTGGGGCCAAAGTGTCAGACCTTGGATTTTTTCAGGGGGCAAGTCGACGTTCGGCAAAATCGAATTTTTCCGCCGAGTGAATGTTGATTCTGTATCTACTAACAATTCTGATGCTAATGAAACCCTCGAAAGGTTCCAGAAATGTTGAAATAAAAAATTTAAATTTTCACCCGTGGTCCAGGGACGGTGGGGGGGGGGTGTATCTTGCAATATTTGAATGCAAAATGTATGCGTCAGCCAGCGGAAAAAAATAAATTCTCGCNATTTTTTTTTCACCTGGGGCCAAAGTGTCAGACCTTGGATTTTTTCAGGGGGCAAGTCGACGTTCGGCAAAATCGAATTTTTCCGCCGAGTGAATGTTGATTCTGTATCTACTAACAATTCTGATGCTAATGAAATGAAAAATTTAAATTTTCACCCGTGGTCCAGGGACGGTGGGGGGGGGGTGTATCTTGCAATATTTGAATGCAAAATGTATGCGTCAGCCAGCGGAAAAAAATAAATTCTCGCCGATACCCAAAGAAATTGCAACATTTCTACCAATTGATAAAATCCAGAGATATACAGGTCACGCGTTTAGAAGAACTTCGGCGACATTGCTGGCTGATTCGAGTACTAGTACTACTATTTTAATGAAACATGGGGGCTGGAAATCGGCTACCATCGCTCAAGGTTATGTGGGAGAGTCTCTGGGAAATACGAGTCAAGTATTCCCCCGCGTCGCCAATCAATATATCCCCAGTACTTCGAGTACTGTAAACTCTACTGATCAAGTGCCCCTGAAGAGAATATTAACTGAAACTAATGGTAATACTCCACCTGCTGATAATATTAATAATAATGTATCCATGCTATCAAATTGCTCCTTACAAAACATGACAATCAATAATATCCGCACCCAAAAAGTAAATAATGCATCATAAGTCAAAATCGTAATCTCCTTTGAACGGAATATATTCTACATTTTATAAAGAATTAATAAAAAAGAACAGCACGATTTGTGTTCTTAATGTGCTACATTACTTGAATTTTTGCGCCTTCTCTTATTATCTAGATACTTCTACTACAGACTCCATCTGAGGGTCAACTAGAATACTCTCAGGTCACATTGCAACTGACAGTTTTCAATGTTTACATGATTTCATCAACTTCTATTCGTTAAATAATAGTGCGAAAAACTCGTGACAGGTGTGACAAAAAATAGTACATGCCACGCGGGAGTTTGCGATGACATTTTAACTCGGGGCCTTCGGCTCGGGCAACATAACCCCCTCGCCAAAAATCTCATCGCAAAATCGGGTTGAGGTCACGACGCCCAAATTNAGGTTGAGCGAACAATCCCCTGAAGAAATAGAATGAAGAGTTATCCAATCGTTGAATTGATCATATAATAACAATTTTTAATATAGAGTAAAATTCTCACATACATAGAGTTATACTGTTTGCATTCTATTGCAGAAAATTATTATATTCATAAGTTCAATGTTTTTACTCATTTACTATACTGAAAAATTCTTGAATCAATTACTATTTCTAACGTAATTTGATTATTCCCTCGGCGTCCATATGAAATCTCATCATGAGTAATTTAATTGATGTAGCTATTTCGAAAATACCTCGATAATTTTGGTCGTTCGTGGCTTGAAAATGCAATTCAGAATTATTGATGCGAAGGAAAGAATGCAACTAATACTATTTCATACCTCACTTACGCGCTCTTTAAAAAGTGGACAAATATATTTTACGTGAGAAATTTACAACCCCGAAAATATCATATTGAAAGGAAGCAGTAAATTGAATAGTCATATATCTGCCATAGCAAAATGCGTAAATTCAGATGGGTCCATATATGTCATGGTTAATTTAGATCCGATATAAATATTAAATCCTCGGAATTAAAATTTTCATAGATCACCATCAACACTAATATCTTTTTTATTGTTTGAAAGAATGCGTCATTCATACATGACGATGGGTTCTCCATTAGAGAATTTCCGTTTCAAATCTATGTAGATTTCTATACCCATGATTCATCAATATTAGTTATCTGTGAATATACTTGATACTATCAAGTTACTTCTGTGGATATGAAAAAAATTGGAATCCGTGATAGATTGGACTAGAATAACTGAGGATCAATTTTCACGTTTCCCGCCAGAACTGTTTAAAAAATTTTATGCCGAAATGGCATTTGGCCGAATTCTGTAGGTAATGTAGAGAATCTGGGTCGGTAAAACAGAAAATTTGTGGTCGGTAATTATTTGACCTTTAAAGCGCTATATACTTAGCAGATAGAAAAATTATTTTCATCACGCTGTGACGAAAAGTGAGCTTTTCGGCACGCTCCGCGTGCCTAAAATCCAATTTCCGCCACATTGTGATGAAAAATATTGTTCGTAACTCGTGAAAAAATGTTTTTTAGCTCGAGGG